CTGGCTGCCTGGGAGAGCAAGTCTCCAGTTCCCGAGGCTGTGTGCTTGCTTCCCAGGAGCGCGGCCGGCCACCATAAACCGAGGTGGCACCATTCCTTCAAATGGGTCTTGTGTAGGGAAAGAGGGGTGGGGCTGGGGTGCACCATGGAAAGGAAGCTCTGTTACCTGTTCACGAAGTCCCTGGTGTCCTGGAGGGGAAGAAAGCACAAGCATCAGCTGAGTGGAATCAGACCCCAATAACAGGAGGTGCCCACAATGCTGGCAGCCGGGCCAACAGTGAACAGAACGATGTGGCCCCCTCCTTACAGGGCCCACACTGCTGCGGCAGTGGTGGGTAACCATGAGGACAGGGCTCATTCTCCGCGGCCACCGGGCTTCTGCTGAGACTGGCCAGGTGAAGAACGGAATGGGGGCCCGGGCCATATGGGGCTGGACGGGCACCGCGGGAGGTGTACGTGTTCCCGGTGGACGCAAACGCCCTCAGGGGATCCGCAGCGGGCAGTGATATGTGCGAGCTGCTTGCCAGGCGGCTGACACGGCTAAGTCCTCCCCCCTTCGACCTCTGAACAGCAGACTCCCGGAGTTACAGTGGGCAGAGGGCCACCAGGCAAAAGACTACATTTTCCTGAGGCCTTTGTGGCCACGTCTCATCATGTGACTGAGCCCCAGCCAATGGGATGTGAGAGGAAGCAGTGATTACAATTTGTAGGTCATGTCCTTTAAAAAGGGGAAACTGCTGTGCACCCTAGCAGGCCTTGCAGCTGGGGAAACAAACAGGTGGGGGTAGCCCAGCTTTCCGGAACCTCGTGGTCAGCCCCTGCCCTGACGGCTCCAGAACCCTCAGCTCTGTTCCCGAAAGAAACACAATTGTCTTTGTGTCTCTGTCCTTGGGTTTGACCCAGCAGCTAGCCAGGGTCCTGGTAATCAGCCACTGGGCCGCCCTGTGCAGTGCGGGGCAGAGGGGCAGGTGGGCCGGGACGCCGCCTGTGGGGGTCTGCAGCCTCCACGAGACCCTCCCGTAACGGTGGCCCTCCTGTCACTCCTCGCACACGTTCCTGCACCCGGCCCGGCTCCGGAGCTTGGGGTGGGGCCATGGAGCCGGGGGACAGCCTTGCAGGGGACACTAGGCGTTCTGCTCTTGTAGGAGTGGAGCCCAGGGAGGGGACGAGCTAGCCTCTCGGAGAGGGAACTCTGGGACACAGAGCCACCGGGCGGTGGCTGCTGATGCAGGTCTGACGGTCTCAGGAGGACCGGCAGGCTCTGCCGCAGGGGAGGCCAGATGCGCCTTCAGAGCTCCCCGCTCACCCCCGTCTCACCAAGCACCGGCCCGACACCAGTCGTGAGTTTCCAGCAAACCCTTCCAATCCAGCCAGCTTCGGTGGACGGGGCAACAAACATGAGCCGCATTCCCCCGCTGGTGTGCTGGGACACGGGGCTCGAAAGGCAGGCACGTGGGCAGTTTGGAGGGAGGGGCTGCCAGGACCGCAGGAAGGTACAGGCCGGCTAAGGATGAAAGGCTGGGAGTGGCCCAGAGACCGTGGGAGAGCAGGGTGGGAACCCTTCTCCCAGAGCACAGCGCGGGAGGCCGGGGGTCCAGGGAACGAGCCTGCACTGGGAAGGGGCCGGCCCAGGGCTCCTGAGGACACCCCCCAAGACTCCTGGGGGTGTCCCGAAACAGGTCATCAGAGCAGAGGGGCCACGGCTGGGGAGCGGGGCAGGGCGGAGGCACTCGCGCAGGTGCCCACGGCTGAGCTTGGCCCAACGGTGGGAGAGACAGAGGCGCCGGCTGCGGCTCCCCCGGGCAAGGCCTGTCCCGGGATGGACCGCGGAGGATGTTCCTCTAACGTCTTCTGATTTTCCTGGCCCAGAGTTCTCTCCTTTCCTAACCCCCCTCCCCTGCCCCCTGCACCACACTTTACATCCAGGCCTCTGTTACTGCGGTTTCCCTCCTGCTGGCCGCCCACAGTCAGATAGCCCCTGGGGAAATATAATGACCTGAAGGAGGTAGCTCTGCGGTTCCCTTGCCGCAAAATCAAACCCAAACGAGCAGACAAAACCTATCAGTACCGACACCGGGTTCATGGACTGGCTGCCGCAGACACCCACTGTCTGTCTCCAGGCCCACGCCCCGTCCCCTGTGCCCTCGCCCCATCTCTGCACCTGTGCCCCGTCCCCGCGCCCTCGCGCCGTCCTCATACCCGCACCCTGTCCCTGCCCCACGCTCCAGGTCTGTCTTCCATCTGAGTGGCGCTGCACTCCCTTGGGTGGAGCGGGAGGGGGTCCCGTCGGGATCTCAGCCCCCACCGGCACCCCAGCTTGTCTCTCTCTGCCCCCCACACAACTGCACATCACGTGGCGGTGGCCACGGGGAAAGAAGGGCTGTCCCGCCTGGGGGGGCAGGGGAGGGGGCAGTATGTGACCCAGTCCCAGTCTGATGGAGGAATTCAAGGGAACACAGTGGCATCTGGAGGAAATGCCAGAGACACGTTTTGGACAAAATGAAGGACAAGAACAAGGGGCCCAGGAGCAGAGCTGGGACGGGACTCCTGCCCTGCCCTGTGGCTGGGCCCTCAGCAACTTCTGATTTAGGGCCCTCACCCCCTGCCGGTCCCGATTTGGGAGCCAGAATGGACCGCGGCAGGGAGGCAGACCAGGCCACCTGTTCATGTACCTGGAGAGCCTGCCTTGCTGTGTCTCCTGGGGCCACACTGCTGGCCGGGACAGCATCTTCCTGGAGGAGATCCTGGGGGGCTCCACTGCTGACAGCCCCAGCCACCAGAGCATCCTCCTGACCCGCAAGGGGGAGGGTCCAGCACACCGCTCCAGACGCTGGCAAGCCCTGTTCCCGGAGGCTCCAGGAGGAAGGAGGCGCGGTGCTGTTTCCACTTGGCAACCTGCTCCCTAGTTCAAGGCTCTCCCCTTCTCAGCATCAAAGCCGCCTCCTCCGGGAAGTACTCCAGGGGCACCCTGCCTACTCTCCGGCCCCCAGAAAACCTCACCCATCTCCTCTAGTCCCTCCTTGGGAGAAGCCACCATGCGGCCCTCCCTCAGCCACCCCAGCAGCGTGGGCTGCTTGCAGCTTCCCCTGGAGGCTGTCTGCCAGGGACCCGTGATGGTCCAGATGAGGATGGACAGTAGTGAGGAAAATACGCACAACCTTCCTTGCCTCTTCACAGCACTTTCTAAATTCCTTAAACTGTCTTTTGGTAGAAAGTTTGCCTTCTGAAGGGACACCATGCTGTTCAGGTCCTCCTGTGCTCATGTGACCTCGGAGGAGGTGGGGCGGGTGGGGGTGACCTCCTGACATTTCAGGAGGGAAAATCGAGGCCTGAGAGGCGGTGGTTCTCTCAGGGTCCTGCATGCACACGGGTGGTGGGACGGAGACCTCGCCGCCCTGGGGAGGCGTCTCACCTGCATGAGCTCTGCAGCCGGCTGCTGCGCCTTGGCCTCCAACTCAGAGATGAGCAGCGCCAGCCGGGCCAGCTCCCCGATGCCCCTGCTCTTGTACTTCTCGCGGCCCTCTGCCAGTTCCTGCTCCAGCTTGGCCAGCTGGTCCAGCAGGTGCTGCTCACGCTCCTGCAGGAACTGGCGGGCCTGCTCAAACTCAGCCACGATGTACTGCCTCTGGTCCTGGAGCTTTTTCTGCAGGGGTGCGGAGGGGAGACGGGGGTGACGCCTCTGCCCCGCGCTGGAGAACCCCTGCAGCGTCTGCTGTTAGAGCCGCGGAGGCCGGCTCCCACCCCCATCCGTGTGCTAAGGGGCCTCAGAGCACGCCTGCCTGGGCCAACCTCTCCCCGACACAGACTCTCCCGCAGGAAACGGGCACAGCCCCTCCCACCCCATCTTGAATCAAGCACGCAGTGCGCGGTCTCTGCTTCCCGACCATGGGCAGCCCTGGCTGCAGGACTCAGCGGACAGTGTCCCCAGGACGCCTCACGCCCTCCTAGGCCTCCCCCTCAGTGCTCATCCTGCAGCCAGCGCCCCCCCCCCAACAGGAGTCTGGGCTCCCTCCCCTTGCTGACAGGAAGGACTTCGCGAGGACCTCCTCGGTCCCCTGCACTCTGGCGGTCCCCAGCACAACAGCAGCTGCTGCTAGACATGGCCCACAACCACAGTGACTCACACACGAGAAGGAACACCCACTCACACACCAGATGAAGAAGCCAGCCCAGAGCCACCCAGCTCAGACCGTCAGGGCTCAGCCTCCCAGCAGGGCCTCCACTGTTCAGCCTCCCAACAGGCCTCCACCACTCAGCCTCCACTGCTCAGCCTCCCAACAGGGCCTCCACCGTTCAGCCTCCTAACAGGCCCCCACCGCTCAGCCTCCCAGTAGGGCCTCCACTGCGCAGCCTCCTGGCAGTGCCT